TTCCTTAAGAGCCACCATTGTTCTTAGTTTGTAGTGACTGAATCCCTCCCTCCTGAGATGAGCATAAAGTAAACAACAGAGAGGAATCTGGCCTTGTCTGCAACAGACTTCCCCATGAGCCCTTGTGTTTGTTTTGTACTTCCTTAGGATTTTACTTTGTTCACCTTCCGATTCTCCATAAATACTCCGGAAGCATGGCTGGGGGTCTTCAGTGGAGAACTGCTGGCCCCCTGCTTTTCACGCTCTCTGTTCGATATCATTCCTGGTAGTCTGTCTCATTATTAATAATCACAAAAATACTTTACCCTCTGCCTGCAACATCTATGGTCTCTCTCCTGAGTGAATTCTTCTATGTACAGCGAGATTACCTGATTGAAAAAAATATTTTCCCACAGTCCTGACACTGGTAAGGTCTCTCTCCTGCGTGGACTCTTCTTCTATGTACAGTGAGCACACCTGAATCTGAAAAAGCTTTCCCACATTCCTGACATTCCGAAGGTCTCCCTCCTCTGTGAATTCTTCTATGTTGAGTGAGGTGAGCTGATTGAGCAAAGGTTTTCCAGCATTCTTTTCATTGAAAGGGTCTCTTTCCAGTGTGAATTCTTCTATGTAACGTGACGTGGCTTGATTTTGAAAATGTCTTCCCACAGTCCTGACATTCATAAGGTCTCTCTCCTGTGTGGATTCTTCTATGTACAGTTAGGGTACCTGAATATGAAAAAGCTTTTCCACAGTGCTGACATTCGTAAGGTTTCTCTCCTGTGTGGACTCTTCTATGTACAGTGAGTGCATCTGATCGAGAAAATGTCTTCCCACAGTCCTGACACTTGTAAGGTCTCTCTCCTGTGTGGACTCTTCTATGTACAGTGAGGGCACCTGATTCGGAAAAGGCTTTCCCACAGTCCTGACATTCGTAAGGTCTCTCTCCAGTGTGGAGTCTTCTATGTACAGTGAGGGTAGTTGATCGTGAAAATGTTTTCCCACATTCCTGACATTCATAAGGTCTCTCTCCAGTGTGAATTCTTCTATGTAACGTGAGCTCACTTGAATGTGAAAATATTTTCCCACAGTCCTGATATTCATAAGGTCTCTCTCCTGTGTGGACTCTTCTATGTACAGTGAGGGCACCTGATCGAGAAAATGTTTTCCCACATTCCTGACACTCATAAGGTCTCTCTCCTGTATGAATTCTTCGATGTGTACAGTGAGGTAACTTGATCGTAAAAATGTTTTCCCACAGTCCTGACATTCGTAAGGTCTCTCTCCTGTGTGAACTCTTCTACGTCCAGTTACGTTATGTGATCGTGAAAATGTTTTCCCACAGCCCTGACATTCATAAGGTCTCTCCCCTGTGTGAACTGCTCTGTGTGAAAGTGAGGTTACCTGATTGAGAAAATGTTTTCCCACAGTCTGTACATTGATAAGGTCTCTCTCCTGTGTGAATTTTTCTGTGTTCCTTGAGATCACCTAACCGTGGGAACAGTTTCCTACACTCTTTACACTCATAAGGCTTCTCTCCTGTATATGTTCTTGTGCGTCCTCTAAGATGAGAAAAGTGACAAAAGGTCTTTAAACATTCCTTGCATGTATAAGGCCTCTGTCCTCCCTGAGTTCTTCTATGTCTAATGAGGTGCGTGGATTTTGAAAAGGCTTCCTCACATTCCTGACTTTTATATTGTCTTGTGTGAGTTCCTCTTTGTTTAACGAGGTGATCCGACCGTGAAAAGGTCTGTTCACCTTCCATACATTGAAAAGGTCTCTCTGCTGAGTGCATTTTGGCATGCAGAGTTAAAAGAGCAAGCCGAGGAAAGGTTTTCCCGCACTGGTGACATTCATAAGGTTTCCCATCTGTATGTGTTCTCGCATGTCTCCTTAGACATGACAAAGAACGCGAAGATTGTCCACATACCTTACCATTATAAGGCTTCTCTGCACTGTCAATGCTTCTCTTTACTGTGTTGTCTGAAGTACTAGTAAGGGGGGCAGAAGAAGAAAAGGGTTTCCCCTTTTCAATACACTCATTAAGCTTTTCTAGAAAATTAAAGTCTTCTTTGGAAACTAAAGGGAAAGGATTCCTATAGGTCTCAGCACATTCTGAAGGTTCATGTTCATCTACCACATGGATCCAAAATGAAGAGAAGGTACAGAAATCTTTGCCACATTTCTTACATTCATGGCCGGTGTCACCAAGGTCACTCCTCAACAGGTTTATGTCGACACGGTTGCAGGAATAACTTGGAAATCTGATGCACATTTTCCCAGGCTGAGTGTCTTCAATCCCTTCACACACCTCCTGTACTGCTCGACATCTATGAAGTCCAGGTTTTCCAAGATTTCCATCATCACCTCCCTGTAGAGCTTCTTCTGAGCAACACTCAACAAGGCACACTCTTCCAGGCTGAAGAAGACGACCGCATCGCCAAGCAACAATGGTACCATTTCTGTGCTCCGTCTTCTGGAGTTCATAGGGAACCCTGTTAATATGAAGAAATCCCTTCAGGATGAGCATTTGAGTGGGAGAACACAGGATAACATGGAAGCAGATGAATGATGTGTGGTCCACACTCCCTGCAGAAGGGCTTAAATCCTCCCTTCGGGTTTACAGAAAGGCATGATGGAATGGAGCTCATTCTTCAGCGGCTTGGACTGGACATGCTTACAAGGCACTTGATCCGACAAACCACGTGCCCCGCGTGTCCTGGAGCCGCTGAGCCCGAGGTTTTCAGGGGAGCGGCTGCCGCCCAGACCCGGGGATTGGGAGTCCCGGGCACAGGCAGGGACACGGAGCGCGTGGGGATTCGGGACAGGGGCCTGCGGGTCACCTCAAAGTGACCAGAAATAAACAGAGAAAATGGAGAAGAGTCTTGTGGGTACCATGGACTGCTTGGAAAATAAACAGATTCATCCTGGAAAGGGTCAAACCAGGCTGCTCCTTGGAGGCAAGGTTTCTAAGGCTCCGTCTAACATACTTTGGACATGTTGCAAGGAGGGACAGGTCCTTGTAGAGTGACGTCATGCTTAGCAGGGTGGAGGGACAGCGCAAAAGGGGAAGGCCCCCTATGAGATGGATTGATTCAGTGACTGGGGTAATTGGGATGGGAGTTTCAGAGACTGTGCGATTGGTACAGGACAGAGCTGAGTTTAGGGCTGTTGTACATAGGGTCCCTATGATTCACAGGTGACTCAATAGCACACAACAGCAACAACAAGGATAGTACAGGGTTTAAGGGACACTGAGTTACAATCAATTCGGTGGCACCTAACAACCACCACTGCCTTTTGGTGATGAGGGGGTACTAAGATTGTAAATGAGAATGGCACTTTCTTGAGATTTGGCCATCACTATTTTCTACTGGTTCTGAAGCCTCAGTGGCAGGCCAGCTGCTCACATACAAAATGCTTGACTTATAAAACAAACCATCTGGATACCTTTAGATCTATAGACTATCAGTCTCAACTCTCATGGCTTGGCCAGCAAATGACAGTTTCCTGAAAAAGAAGACCTTTCTTTCAAACATGGCAGCTGTTACAGAGCTGGGTTTTAGCCTTTACTCCTCTTAAAGCTGGGTGCCGTTGGTTCAGCACAGGAATCTTGAGTGACAGAAGTTTCTATTAGTATCCTTTTTATACATTCACTTGTGTCAAGAGTATTAAAACTATTAATAAATGGTAAGAAACGAGGGTGTTTTTTTGTGGGGGGGGGAGTCCCAACTCTTTTACCAACAGGCAGTGGAGTTTATTTGAGATGGATCATTCAATCTTATTTGCTTGCATGTAAAAGGAAGGACTTGGCTTTAACAAGATGGGGTTCTGGTCTGTAATAGGGTCAATATGAGTCATACTTGACAGCACCTGATGACAACAACAGACTCCTATCTTTAATTTTGTTAAATAGTAGGCTTTCATTTACTCTGTCTTCTAAAAGTGAAATCTTTACTGAGGCAGTTTGAGTTCTTAGTAGAGTACCTTTCTCTTAGCCATTTATGCAAATAAGTATTTGCAGAATTTCACTGGCGATGAAATTAGAAAATACAAGCCATCGAAAAATTGCAGACTAGTTTTCATTCTTTGTTCATATCCAGCCTTTTCCATTTTAAAGCTGTGGAATATTCAGAAAGTTATTTAACTCTCTGTGCCCTAGTTTCCTCATCTAAAAATAGAAATCCAGTAATAGCACTTACTTCATATGGTTTATTAGGATAATTATAGTATGGACAGGGGAGCTCTGGTGACTTAATGGTAATGAGCTGCACTGCCAACTCCAAAGCATGTAGTTTAGATCATCTGGCTACTCTGGGGAAAAGTGGGGCAGGCTCCTCCTATGCAATTTACAGCCTCTGAATCTACTGGAAGATCAGTTGTGAGTTGGTTCTGACTCAACAGCAGTACTTAACAATGCATAAAGGTTTATTATACTCAAAAACCTGATGGTTGAGAAGAGTTGGAAACTACTGGACAGTAGTTGATTTGGATATTGATATTTTAAAAGTGCAAATTAGAAAGTCAGAGATAGAGTAATAACTAATTGCTATGAAATGAGATAAAAAAAACAGGGCATACATGATCCTAAGACTGGATCATCTTTGTTTACAGGAAAATGAAAATTTATAAAAGGCATTATTGAGTTGATTGACAACAATAATAATAAAGATTATAAATTAAAATATTACATAGATGCTGTCTTTTTTTCAAATTTGGAAGCGTTCTTGTTGAATGGAATGTTTTGGGAAATTCTGAAATGCTTAAAGGGAAAGGGTCACAGTGATACAGCTTGTTCTCATTGTATATGTGTGTTTGTGTAAAGAATGAAAGAAGTAATACAATGCATGGGGCAGATAACACCAGGAATTTTTGTGTTAGACATATACAGACATTCTAAGCTTGTTTGAAATATTTCCAAATGACATGCTCACGTCTGTGTACAATACTTAATTTATTTCAAGATGCTAACTTGTATTGTTTACAGATGTACACATTGATTTTCAATTTCTTTTAAACAGTGCTGGACCTAAAGGAGATAACATTTATGAATGGAGATCAACTATACTTGGCCCACCAGGTTCTGTATATGAAGGTGGTGTGTTTTTTCTGGATATCACATTTTCATCAGATTATCCATTTAAGCCACCAAAGGTAAGAATGCAGAAGTACCTTCTTTTTAATATGTATTCCTTCTCGAAAATTAGTTTATTCCAAAGGTTAATTATGTATTGATGTGATCATTTTATGTCATTATGCTTTTAATGAATTGATATAAACTCTGAATAGCCAAGAATTTTAAAACTATGAAAGTAATTGGCCTCTGCTTTTTACATATAACTTTGTAATCAGCAGAAAGATTTGATTACATAAACTGTATTACTTTGCATGTCAGTAAGGCAAATTAAATTTTGAGTTTTGATCACAGTGTTATATTCTAGAATCCTCTCTTATGAACCATCATGGGATAAAAAGTAAACCTATTTAACAGATCCCAAAGAGTTAAGTAACTTTTTACTTTATGTTAAATAACTCATAGATAAGCAGAGAAATAGAAAACGATATGATACAGTAATGAGAACTGTAAGAAACTAGGTAACTTTTACTTCCTTGCTGTCTTATTTAATTGAAATATGAACTAGGTAAAGAACAGCGAAGGGTTGAGTTAAATCTTACTTTACAATGAATGCTTAATTATAAGTTACTGAATATCTTCCTCTTCTCCCTTCCCATTCTGAAATAATGTTATGTGCTGTTGAATTGGAACCAACTCATAGTTGACCATTTGGTGGGTTTTCATAGGCAGTAAATCCCACAGGAGGAAATTGACCACCCCTCTTCCAGAGCAACTACTGGATTTCCCACCACTTGCCTTTGGATTAGTAGCACAACTCCTTACCCATTACACCACGAGAGTGCCTCTCTCTGGAATAGTCATGCCTGTAGGTAAAACTCCCTGAATATAGCCTGACCATGATTAATATAGAGACTGACATGCTGGAGTAAAGTGTGTCATTTCATCTGTTAAGGCCCCTATTTGGGATGAAAGACTTTTATTTTTAGTATTGTTCCTAATGAGTTCCATATACTACTTAAAATCTACATAGTGACCTAATGCTTGTGAGCTCTGGTAGCTTTAGTGGTAAGGAAATTTGAACCCAAAGGCATGCAGTTGAAATCCTCCAGCTGCTCAATGCTGTCTCCTCCCATGCATTGTACTGATTCTGAATAGTCACTGGAGATTTAGCTATGAGTCGTTAGGGTACAAGCATGAAATTTATATATATGGATTGATACAGTGACTACTTTGGTAGCATAAACACAGTAGAGATTTTAGATGGCACTGAATTGGGTAGGGTTAATGTCATTCATAAGGTGTCTAGAGCCAACATGATGTTGCCTGACAACAAATGCATATATGTATTGTTGTTGTGTGCCATCGAGTTGGAACCAACTCATAGTTGACCCTGTGGTGAGTTTTCAGAGGCAGTTATTTGCACAGGAGGAGATTGCCCATCTTTATGGTGGATTTGAACCATTGCTTTAGGGATAGCGCAAGTTTTTACCACTAAACCACCAGAGCTCTGTATATATGTATAATATTTTAATAACTTTTATGTAATTCTGTAACTTATAAAAATAAAATTATTATCTTTTATAAGTCAGTTATTAGTCTTGCCTTCAGATTATAATTCAGAATTTCTACAGTGATAACAGTTCTACCTAGTGGTATTTACCTTAAATTGCTGGGAACAAAAGGCTGCTGCCTTGAGGTATTTTTTTAATAACCACACTTTTAGTATAATTTTTGAGTGCCTTACTGTTAGGTAACCATCAGAATAATATGATTTTTAGATAATATAATTTAATGCTCCCAAGTATACAGAATCTTGCCTTGCTGAATTGTAAAAGGGGCAAACTTTTCTTGTGGATGACAGCACAGATTATATTCACATTTAAAATTATATATGTTAAAGATGAGTATATCACCAACTGGTTACTCTCTATTCAGTTGTTGAGTTTCTCACAAGGGAAAAAAAAATACTTTAGTGTAATATTCTTGACCGTAGTTATAAATAGTGGCAGTAATTGCTATATGCTTCTTGTTGTTGTGTACCATAGAGTCTGAACTGATACATCCTGACAGAGGCAGTTAATCACACTGGCTAGTGTTTACAGTATTGTCAGAGCAATTATAAAGACTCATACTCAGTCACCTCTCCTCAACAAGAAGTATCTTAAAGATAATGTTTTTGGGGGTGGTTTTTGGTTTTGGGGTATTTTTTATAAGCCAAAAACAGCTATGTCCATAAAACACACATTTCTGAGAGTTTATTACTTTCTTTCCAAAGCTCACCTTGGAGATCACATTACACAGGAACTATTTTTGATGAGTTTTCTTTTTCTTTGCAATTTTAGTTCACAAATTAGCAATCTAATTAGTATTAGTGTTTGTAATTGTTTGAAAACTCTTCATGCACTGTTTCTTTGTGTGGTTTCTCTTCTTTTTACATACATCTTAGGGATTTTTTGTTTGGTTGGTGGTTGTTTTGTTTTATTTTTTTAAATCTAGTGTCTAAAGACCATGTTTATATTGTTTTACTGTTTTTGCTTAAAAAAACAGTGAGCCAGCTGTGTGGAAGTGAATAACAGAAATGAAAGGACAGGTAGTGCTGATGAGTTCACAACCTTGCTCTAAATCCTCCTCCTTTATTTTCTTACATGTGATAAGAAATAGCTGAATTGATGTTACCAGGGAGGTGAGCTAGGGAACCGTTTTAACTTTCATTTCTTTCGTTTTTAAGACTTTATCTTACTTGATTTTTTTTTAATGCTTTAGCCTTAAAACATTTCTATTCTTCACTTTCTGTCTTTAAACTCAGGTGTATATAACATACACACATACTTTGGTAGATGTACTGTAGTATTTCTTTAGACATGTTGCCACAAATGACGTCTATAGCCGTCCTGCACATTTTAATTAATAAAATAAGGAACATGATTTGTACAAAGCATACTAATGCATTTATTTTTTAATTATTTAATAATATATAGGGGGAAAAATGTGTTTCTAAGCACGGTCGTCAATTTAAAAATGTGCGGTAACATGTTAAGCTAATCAAACTGACCACTCTTTTAGTATTAAAATCATTACAGCCTTCATACTGAGTTAAATTAAAAAAAATTGTTAAAATTAGTCAAATAAAACCAAAGTAATCTAAGATTAACTTTTCTCTCAAATTATATGCTATTTAGAATTACCAGTGATACATACATTACTTGTTGTTTCTGTTGGCAAGAGTTTTAGTTGGTTATAAAGCATTAATGTCTTACTTTTTTTAAAAAATATGATCGTCCTTAGGTTACTTTCCGCACCAGAATCTATCATTGCAACATCAACAGTCAGGGAGTCATCTGTCTGGACATCCTTAAAGATAACTGGAGTCCTGCTTTGACTATATCAAAGGTTTTGCTGTCAATTTGTTCCCTTTTGACAGACTGCAACCCGGGTAAGCAGATATTTGTGAACTTACATAATGAGGCAACAAAAGTTGCAGTATATCCTCATTCCTCCTTTATTGACACATTTAGGTTATTAGAAAATGGAGAGTGACCACATCAGGTCATGAAATAGCTACTTCATTGCTGGCAGAGCACATCATTACATATGTGCCAAACTACTTCTTCCTTGCTGCTGTATGATTTTAAAGCCAGCACTTAGTGATGAGAGAACTTTTTATTTTCTTGACTTGATCAGTTATAGTTAATGTTTTACGTGGTAATTACTGTAGTAGATTAAAAAAAATTACTTCATAAGAATGAAAGGTTTGTACCAGATTATAATTTTATAACATGGGTAGCTAGACTTGATGAAGTGATGTTTAGACCTGGAATTTCATTTCTTTTATCTTACTATATGATTATCTTTAAAGAAGTTTATTTACTTTTAAAAATAGTGGATGAATTGCCAAAGGCTTATCGTTATTAACTTAGCCTCAATTCTTATATATGCAGCAGATTGGTAGATAGTCCTTTGTTTTGGGTTGTTTTGATTTGGGGTTTTGTTTTTTTTTTTATATTAATCACAGCTTCATTTATTATTTTACTATTTTTGTGTGAGTGTACCGTCAAATCAGATCTGACTGGTACAGGAGGAGATTGTCCCTCCTTCCACGGCAGAGCATCTGGTGGATTTGAACAGTGCGCCTCCGGGATTGTAGTTGCAGCTCCTTACCACTAGGCCACCAGAGCTCCCCTAGCTTCATTTATTAAAGCACATGATTTTAAACAACCTGAATATCCATCAGTTGAAGCTAGAAAAAAAGAATAATATATGCATATGATTTTGGAGGGCAGAAGCATAGTATGGAGACAATATTACTATATATGTTCATAAATTCATATAATGTCTTTGAAAAGAAGCATAAACAGGTAACAGTGATTTACTTGGGAAAGACATTTTTTATAGTTAAAGTCAGGAAAGAAGAAAGCTTTACATTTTATTGGCTGTTGTGGGGTACATGTCAAATATTGTACTGTATATACAAATAAAAGCAAACTCCTCCTCGGACGCAAAGATTCTGAAACTTGAAACTTTGTCTGACATACTTTGGGCATGTTTCGAGGATTGACCAGTCCTTGGAAAGGGACATCATGTTTAGGAAGGTGGGGGGACAGCACAAGACAGGAAGACTCTCGGTAGGACAGATTCACTCAGTGACTGGAGTAATGGGGGTAGATGTATCTGAGACAATGAGGTTGGCTCAGTTTAGAACAGGTTTCAGAGCTGTTATGCATAAGGTTGCTGTGAGTTGCTTAACAACAACATATGTATTTTAACTTTATTAAAAAGAAATACAAATAAAATTTATACCTTAAGTTCAGTTTCTAGGACAGAATTCTGTTTAACACAACGTAGTGAGTACATTTTCAAATGTGGATGTGGTTATTTACTGTGCAGATTGAAGAAAAATTATTCTGATTAGCAAAATTAGTTGTAGTTTAGTTTTAAAATAAAAATTTTAAAATTCTATTTTA